TTCTTATACCAGAATTAAACATTCTTGAACAACAAGAATCATTTTTCAGCTAGGGATTTTTGGCTACTAGATATAACAATTTTTGCCACTGTCAAATTGAAAGCTCTTGGGGATCAAATAAACATTGAACGGAGAAAAACTCATTTTCTTCCCAAATTCAATTAGTAATAACAAACAATCAATCAAACACAAAGACTAAAATTAGAGGAGGGAGGGAGATAGAATTAATCAAGATAAAGAATCGGATTAGTTGGTACCCACATTGACAAACGCAGCATCCAAGTAGGAGATGTTAATCTCTATTGAAACACCCGTGTTTACACGGCCAACTGTAAAGATTACGGCCGAGCTCACCAAATCCACTATAGATGCCGTCGCACCACCGTGCAGAATATTACCAGAATTCTTAATCCAACAAGCAAACGAAACAACACAGAACGTCAAACTCAAAAATTGTTAAGAGCTCGAAAATTTTATCACGCATATGTATAGACGGATGAGACTCACCAGAAGACGAGGAGGGACTTCCATGGTGCAGATAATTCGACCTGGTTCGATGAGATCAACTTTAATACCTTGCATGATAAATAGGTCGAAGAATCGGAGAGGCAAACCATCGACTGAAGCATTCTCGCTCTCGTAGCCTCCTCTCTCTAAAAACTTCTTCACTGACTCCAAGTCCATTTCTCTCTGTTAACCACCGAGGAGTTGGCTGCTTCTCCTCGAGCAAAGCTTCACAGAAAATCAGCTCATTCCGACATTCCGTGGACAATAATAATAATAAAGGATTTCTTCGGCCAGCTCCCCCTACGAAATCGAAATTTCAATGGGCCGAATATGAAACCCCGCCAGTCGCAGCCAATGAACTGAATATTTGTTTGCTCAAGCCGATAAGAAAACTTTTTGTCCTTAATATCAATAAAATAATAATTTATATCTTATCTTATATATATATATTAAAGTTCGCAAATCGGAATCTTACTTATAATGACACGCGTGCCAATACAGACTATACACCATCGAGATTATGACACGCGTGTCATTAGCTCTGAAACCCCGCCTTCTCCATCCTCTTCTTCACGCTCAGAAAACTACTGCGGCAAAACCTTTCAACGGCGTGGAGAAGCAAAAGCAGACGATCCTGGCCGTGTAATACATGCTGCCTCGTAGATCTCATAGTTTTCATCGGTTCAAAGCAATGGAGTCTTGATACAAGAAGAAGAAGAAGAGGAGGAGGAGAAAGATGGAGATCAGATAGGTGTTCCTCTGCCCATAAAACCCTAAAAAAACGAACGGCCTTCATGAGAGAAACATTCCAGAAGAACCAGACCAGAGAGACACTCCAGAAGAGCCAGACCATTACAGACAACATGGTCGCTATTCTCGGCTCTTTCGATCACCGTTTCTCAGCTCTAGAGACTGCGATGCTTCTCACATTGGTATGCGCCCCACTCAAAGACTAAGGGCAGGTTGGTCATTATGGTGAAATGAGGAACCAAAACGAACTATCTGGTTTGGTTTCAGTTGGGTGAGGATCTCTTTCGGTTACATTCAGTTCTTCTCTCCTTATTGCGTATGACTGAATCTGAATGTCTTTCTCTCTCCTTCCTTCTTACTCTTTTCCTTTCTTCTGTCTGCCGGACTGATGGGTTGATGAAGAATGGAGGTAGAGTAGAGAGAGAGCAAAGTCTTGACTACTGACGTTGGCTTTCGTGCCGACGTGACTGGACCCGTTGGATCGGGACTCGTGGAGAAAAACGAGGTGATAGTGATGATGAGGGTGCATTTAAGAGGGAGCAGGAAGCATGGCGGAAAGTTGAAGCCTGTCACGCTCAAACTCAGAGAGTCTCTCTCGCCTCATTCTATCTTTCTTTCATCTACTCTCCGGAGCTCGGGCTCCCCACATCCACATGAGGAAGATGATAAAACAAAAAACAAGAAAAGGGAGAGATAAAGCGTCAACAGGAAGGTAGTTGGTTAGGTCTGCAGGCGGCCCCATCACTGTCTGGTCTGGTCTGCCCTCAATTCTCGCGCAAATTGGTGGACGAATGAACGAGAGGCGGAGGAAGGAGATAAACAACAGAAAGCAGATCAGCCATCGTTTTCAGAACGTGTGGATTTGATGGGTGGTAGCAGCAGCAGCAGAGAAGAGACGTCTTCTTGACGTTCAGCTCACAAAGACGCAAGCTCTTCTCCTTTCCTGCATCATTCTCAAACAAAATAAATCTTGGTTTAGATCGGTTTGTTTATCTTGACTAATTGGAACTACTTCCTCCTTACTCTCTTAACTTGCCAACTTGCTACAGAGTGCCAATCGCATGCCTTCACGGTGTCAACATGTGTGTTATGAGTGGGCTTTGCTTTGCTTATATTTTGTAAGGGGGACCACCAATGGTATTGTTGTAATTACTTAATATGTTTTTCCATTCTTTTGATGTTTCCTTTTCTCATTCTCCCAAAAGCTTAACGTACTCTTTGAGGGGAAGTAGGTAGTTGAGTGAACTCATAAGTGTGTAAAGGTTAAGCACGAAATCTCCTCGACACTGTACTGTGTGCTTGTGCTTACCACTGATTGATGCAATACAAATAGCCTTTTGTTAATTTGTATATCATCTTGTTGCCTTTTTGTGTGTGTTTGCTTTGTTTCGTAGGCTTATTCGCCCATTTCGAGTGCCGCACGAGCCCCAATGATTACCCCTGTGACAGTTGATATCAGAGCAGGAACTCCTACACACACTCTGAACCTTGTCTTCGTCCCTACATCAACACAATGAAGAGCAATCGAGGTATTGCCGATGACACATCGCATGGGCGGCTTCAAGCCCACGACTCTGATGACGCTCCACTTGACGAACATACCAAGACACAAGCCCCAAAGGGGCGTACAACCAAAGCTAGCAAGCACGACAAATCAGTCGACCAACTAGCTACCGTGGACATGTGCCTCCTACGTTGCGAGGTGATAGTGGGAGAAACCCGAGATCGGGTTGATGAACTCCACCTCAACCTAGAGACGGTTGAGAATGCAGTGGTGGAACTAGAA